AAAATCACGAGCGACCCAATTTTCGTGGTGCAAAAGCTCGACGCACTTCACTACACTAAAATATGCACGCTACCGTAACCCTAAATTCGGACGCCGGCTTTTTAAATGTTTCCTTTTTCTTTTCAAGAGTTTTTCCTCTATGTTTCTGTTGTTTTTTGTTTTCTTTTCTTCGCATTCGATGATATCCACTACTGGGAGATGTGACAAAGTGATTTGTGAGCCAGGGCTTGCACAGAGACCGCAGGGAGGTGTGACTGTCAGGGCGCGATTTTGTTTATGGTGTTCTTGAGGACTCTTCTTGCTTTTTTCTTTTCTGGGGAATTACTTATCAGCTACTGTTTCATAATTGATCAGCAATTATCCTTTGACACTTTTATCGCGGGAGCTGTCTTTAATTGCGGGAAAGTGCCTCAAGTCACACCTAGTTTTCTAAATATCTGCTGATGTGTTAGATGTGGACAGCGTCAAGAATGGAAGTCATATTCATGGCCGTTGAGTGCCTCCCCCCTTCCATCTTCTTCTCTTCGAGGTTTCCTTTAAATTTTTAGTTGTGCTTGTTCCTCGTGCCGACGGTTCCGGGGTTCCGGTGGTCATTACATTACAAGCAAAGATCGTGCGCATAAGGACAGGTCTGAATACGATCCTCATGCGTACACACAGTGCCGACCTCCCTGATATGATGAATGTGGAGCACTCGTGCTTGTAGAGCAAATAGCTCTTTGATAATTATAAGTACCCGAAGCATTAGTACTGTCAGCTCGCCAAAGGATTTATTTTTGCCTCTCCACCTCTCCCTGAGCGCTTAGCTGCTTTCATTTACAAAAGGGACCTCCTTCGTTCCTTGAGCAGTTAAGAAGCTCGCCCAGATTTCATGTCGCCGCCTTGTCAATCCATACGTGCAGCACGGGCGAGAGGCAATCGAATGCCTAGGGGCCTAACCGCTGCCCTTTCTATTCGAACGCTACTTGCAGATCGCTTCTTCCTCAATGGAAATATTTTCTGGATTCTCTTTCTCATCTTTCATTAATTCTCTTTATCGACTGCTGCGCATGTCATTTCCGACAGCCGTCAAATCCAGAAGTTAAGAACCATGGTAACGATAATTTCCTTGGGGTGTTTGATCCTTCCAATTAGAAGAAGAAATAGACGTAGGTAGAAAAACTACCACACAACAGCAATAGTTTGTTAAAACAGCAATATCTGGCCCCAGACGAGCCACCCCTAATGTGTCAATTCGGGACTCTTCAAGAATTGGTTAAAACCTACAAACTTTTTTTCCTCCATTATAGGTCTCGAAGAAAACCCATATAGGAAGACGAGAAGGGAGAAAGAGCGAATCACTTAGTGGTGTTCTCCCCTTTGCACAGGTATGGGCGAAGATCCTCATTCCCTTGACTCACAAGTTTTTTTTTGCATCTTCCAGTTCTCGTGGAGTGCTATCTAGCCAAAAAAAAACCTGTCGCTCCGCTTCTGTACTCACACTGCCTTTGTGGGCCGACTTCAGCATTAACTTACTGTTCTCGTAGAAAAGGAAAACAGCGTGAAGGCTGAAACGCTGGTGGCACTTGACAGATGCCTGTGCAATAGTGGGGGCTAATGCCGTTTGGACTCCAGCAACTTCGGCACCGAGCTCATTTTTAAATTACCTAAGTCGCCAAACCCGCTGAAAATATGTACACAAGGGTTATTTACCATCCTGATTACAATTATGACACTCATTCTTGGCGCTGGGAGCCCCAAGAATAGACACTTACGATTTACCTCTGGGCTCAGCCTCAAGCGAGATCGCGCCCGGTAATCGTAGCTGTCATCCGTCTGAGCGCCAGCGGACCAAAGATGGAATGTCAATACTTCGTAGATCAGCGATGTTAACTACCTCCTTACAATACAAGTTTTTAGGCGCGATTGGCATAACTTAGGACAATTTTAAAAATGAGCCTCCGGCTGCGAAGTTGCTGGAGTCAAATGGATTAGCCCAATAGCTGCGTAGTATCGTAGTCGACGAGCCATTTGCCCCACCAAAATGCCCAAAATCAGCGTGGCACTATCTCAAGATATCTGTCAACCGTAGAGCCTTCCTCCTTCCTTCTTTTTCTTCCTTCCTCTTATCATCCTTCGTCATTATTTTCCTTCTCCTAAATGCTCGAACAGAAGATGCGATGACAGAACGCCTCTGAACCCTCACGGCGAGAGAGCAATCGTTTGACAAATGTTTTGTTACCCCGCTGGACAACCGTCTGGTATAGGCCCATTTAATGGCTCATCGTGACCTAAACATTCACGAGTTTCACCCATCAATAAGTGGCTCAACCACCTGGAGCCCTGCCCTTTTTAAAAAGTCCATCATCTATCTCGCCACATGTTTTTGCACCTTTGGCACCTCTTTTACCGCTGTGTCGACTTAAATGCCGCTACAGGATTGTCGTCACAACGCACGCAGGAAGGGTTCAAGAGGGCACTGAGATGGCGGTCTTTTCTCCCAAATGCCTTAGTTCCCATAGAAAACAAGTTCTGGTTAGAGATCCTGTACTGTGGTCAGCTTCGAAGCGAGGGTTTTGCAATCTCACTTTCGTTTCTTTCACATTACCTCAGAAGTTGTTCCCCTGCTTGTTATCTTCACATTTCTTATCATTTCTCACAACATCACTCACGTAAAGTTTGTTTCATTTCGAACACATTTTCTCAGGGTAGGTTGGCATTTTGCAGGATTTTGTAAAGTCCCACTCGCTCTGTTTATGCCTTTCCGCGAACGGTTGGAAGAACTAGAGAGACATTCTTCTCCCCGTCGCATATTTATTTTTAAAACAAGAATTATGCGGAACTTCTGCTTAGCTGACATGACCGCTGCTGATTTTTATTGCAGACGATGCTCATGTTATTCGCACACTGGCAGAAAGACATGGTACAGTTCTGGTCCGCGCCGCGGATGATGGGGAATGCAGTGCGGTCTGCCTTTGGGGTGCTTCCACGTACACGTGACTGTACAGCGTCTCGGGGTAAACGACAACAAGCTTAGAAAGGGGGCGTAACCAACGAGGATGACTACCAGTCTTTGCCGCTTGCTTGCTTCAACAACTAGTAGAAAACGTGCTCAGCGCCATACGCAACCGCTGACACGCCCCGTCATTCCCATGAACCAGAGTGTATCTTGCGAAGTGTCGGGGGTTTGAATCGCTTATTTCATCCTCCAGATCTTTGTAGTTTTGTTAGCTGGTTATCGGTGAAATTTTGTCGCGCATTTTTTAAGTTTATTGTTTGTTGTTTGGTTCATAGTTGTTTTTTGAAGCCATGCTGCCGTCATTACGAAGAGTGTCAAGACCTTTGGTGCGGACGTTGTACAGTGATACATTGAAGAACCTCATGATTAATAGAGAAACAAAAGTTATTATTCAGGTGTGTTTCCGTTCCTCGAATTCCTTTCATCTTTAGTAATTTTTTCCGGTTTTAGTTAGTTACGTGTTTTTTTTTGTTTTGTCTCCGATCTTCTCGCTCTGCCTTGATACCGTTAATCTTGGAGGATGGGCATTTCGTTGAGCTATGTACGTTTAGTCAGTGGTAGGAAAAAGGTTGACGCCACGCTAAAACTTACACTACGCTGACACGCCTCGACCGACTTCGGTGATAGCAACTGTGAAGTACTGGACCACGTACCTGAATTACATCAGCGCAAAGGCTAAATTTGGTGCATTATTGAAACTCATTTGTATTAACTACGACTTTGTTGGAAGGCGCGTTGACTGCTCAATTCTTCTCCGGAATATTATATCCCGAGAGAAGGCAGCGTTCAGACTTCGCGACGGCAGCGCGTTCGGCGCGATCGATGCGCATGCTTTCTACTGCATCGATCGCGTCGAACGCGCGATCCAAGCGCTGCCATCGCGAAGTCTGAACGCTGCCGAATGCTCTTCATGATTGCGCGCTAGATAGTGTAACGTCATAGACCATGAAACCAAGAGAACAAGGACTTCAGCGTCTTTTGTGCTACTACACGTGGGAGCATCTTTGACCTACTAATTGAAAGCAAAGCTCGCACTGGTCTTGACGGCACCTAGTGGATTATAGCTGCCAGTTCATCTGTCCACAACGCATTCGGCTTGTTT